ACATTTCTGACTAGCTTGGAAAGAATGCTCAAAAACAGTGGAGGAAGGGAAATCCAATTTTTATTTTAGCGCATCGAATGCTTCGATCACCAAATTGTTTTGGTAGAATATCGCGACACCATAGGAAATGTTGTATATATATATAAACAGCAAACAACTGAAGTAACAGAAGCAATCAGTACGCCATGGATGGATTGATAAGGGACGAAAATACGGCGCGGAATCAGTATAAATAAAGCTTTGCTCTCAATTCAGGAGAAATATCACAGGCACAAGAAAAACCTGCTGCAGCGTTCCAAAAAAAAAATCAGCGCCTCGAACATCTTTTTGTCTTCGAACGTTCACAGCGCATCTTAATGCGATCACCAAAACCGCATTACTAGCCACTCAAATAATTGTAATTTGTGGCGATAAAGATGAATTTAATAATGCTCCAATATATAATCCCATCTGCGTACAATTTTAGATAGTACACACCTCCAAGTCCGCATCTCTCCTACAGATAGCAATATTATATCGATTCCCAGCACACGCACACACACACACACACACACACACACACACACACACACATACATACACATAAATACACATATGTATACATATATACACACACTCTATGTAACGATGCAACGTAAACATTTACTTTTCAGAGAGGCGCTGCCTGATAAACTATCTGCAACATCAAATAAACCCTCAAAACTCTCTACTACATCTGAAAGATTAAATCATGTTTGAAAGGAAGAATTTTGACAGCTGCCGCTCAGACGAACCACAGGACAATGAGACACTTTTATTGCAGACGATCCCGGTCATTCGTTTACTCAGCAGTCAGCACCCCCATCCTTATTTTGGTCCGCGGGGTTTTTTTCTTTTTTTTGAACAGTAAGTTCACCTGCCGGAAAAAACCCCAGAAGGTTCCATGCTCCGTGATTTGTGTAAATACATGCTGAAAATGTCGTTACAATGCAATGACAACTCACACTGGTTTAACCACCAATCCTCGCATCGCTGCGGGTATTTCGCCTTCTACGAGAACACTGCGGATATTTCGCTTCCCATGTTCCGCATCTAAAATTGGTACAGGACGAATGGCTGGGACGAAAAGTTCTACTTTTATCCTAGCTGTTTACATGTTTCAGATTTCACAAAATGAAGTGAATGCAGTCCACGCCATAGGGCAGGTCCAGGATGAGCTCCTGGGAGAGCGAGACGGAAGGTGAGGAAGAGAGTCCTCCCATCCTGGAACTA